TCGAAAAATATACACGTAATTGTATAAGAGCATGCTTAATTACTTTTCCTTGGGGACGCTGGTTCGCCAGCCCGTCTTCAAATCAAATCTGAAAATATACGCATTGATCACTCGGGCAGTCCACGTGAAAATCCACAGATCAGATCGAGTTACTTTTGGATCAATTCCAGTCTGACCTAGCAGACGGCCCGACACTCGTGTCGAATAGTAAGGCCACCTACAAATTCCGTCGAGAAGTTTGTAGAACAATAAAATTTCGGATTGGAAAAGTTAGGATTAAGTTAGAGATATGTATGAATATAAATATAGATTGATTTTGATCGAATTGGATCCCCTCAATTAAACTTTGATATTTTATATTTGTATAGGATGAACTGGCCTATCACATTCGGAATCATTTACAACTCAAACTCTACGAGATTATTCCTAAATTACAATTAAGAGAGTGGTAGAGTCGGCCCAATGTGAACCCATTCGACTGTCAACGCAAACAACCGCAAACCACTTAAGATAGTCCCCATTTGATTTGTTTCGGGATCATGCAAAAATAAAGCCCGGGCATATGTCCATAGTTAAATATCTGCCAATCTCTGAAAGGAATCATATATATCTTCTGGCAAATTAATTAATAAACACGCGGCCGTAACTACCTGGTTCAGGTGTTCCATTATGTTATCATGAAAATTATTAATTATGAATCGTGCAAATCACTACTAGTAGTGGCGCATTGATTTGGTTTGGAATCATATGCATGGACATTGAAGGCTGGCTGGGCATATATCCTTGATATCCTTGATATGCTCCATATATATCTATTAATTAAGTACAATAGCATGCAGGTGTGTTGTAGAGATAATTACTAGTATTAGTTTTCTAATTGAAACAGAACTAGTGGCAAAATGATTAAGAAATGATGTATTAATTACTAGTAGATCATTGACCAGCTGATTTGTTGATAGAGATTCAATCACTAAGTACTTACATTGATCCATAATATGTATCTGTCACACATGCTTGCTCGATCTATTTTTCACGTGGAGGCTAATTTGCTCGTAACTATCCGCTTGCAAGTCATCAACGATGACGAATAAGTACTTTTGCCAGCTTAGTGCAATTAAGAATAGTTGTCTCAACATGAGTGGGGTATTGTTTTTTAAGAAAAACGAAATGCATGGCCCGGTTTATGGCCTGTAGGAATGCTTATAATTAGTTGCTGATGGTAATTGATCATTCAAATTTAACACGGCCTTAAGTGAAAAATTTTAATTTCAAAATATAATAACTAAAAATGAATATACAAGCTTCTAAAAGATCTCAAATAAAAAAGTTGACAGCTATAAAGTTGTAGGTCATAAGATCTACAGTTTTGATATAAAATTTACATTACTCCAAATTCATATAAAGAGTTATGATCTACAGTTGTCGGCCTTGTTGTTGGTTTGGACCTGGCTGCTGCCGGCCTTGGACTGGTGGAGCAGGCCCAAGAGGCCCCTGGCATTGTTGACCAAAACCCAAGAAATCAAACAAGTGTGGGTTAACATCATCTGGATCTTTTGGAGGCAAATCTTCATCACGTGGATTGGCACCAAGGAGAGTAGACTGCAAAATTTCGCATTGAACTGTCCAAGAGTCACCCTCAAAGTCAAGCCCTTCTAAAACCACAAAAAACCAGGGGACATCTTTGAGGTTAACCACTCTTGTTCTGACCAGAACACGTGCCATGTGATTGTACTCATCTTCCTAGGCTAACATTTTTCCAAAAAGAGTCAACAACTTTTCTATATTTGTCTTGGACCAAAATTATGACCACCAAAGTTGTATGGTCCAACTTTTTCCATTTTTCCAAAAAGAGTCAACAACTTTTTCCATATTCGTCATAAAGACCACCAAAGTTGTATGGCCCATATTGTCACAAAACAGAGGCTCTTTATGACGACTATTCACAGGATGACAATTGTTTATGACCAAGCTATGTTTCTGTCATAAATATCATCACAGTATACTCTGCATGGGCTTTATAACGATAGATCGTGACAATAGTTGATCGTCATAAAATAAAGAACTATTATAATTTTTGGAAAATATCATGCTATCCTATGTGGCTGCTACGCTACAAATCATGTGTCGTATGCAGACTCATCCCGTCCACATCAACGTACTCCTAGTCTCATTTGAGAATTCAATGAAAAAACTTCAAAAAGAACCTAAAAATGTGGCCTTTGCATGGTTCGAACCTGCATGATGAGGACATCCCAGCTCCATATTTTTGATCACATGAAGATCATTCACCTGCTAACACAAGTGCTCGTAATCATGGGCCACTTACACAAAGTCGTGCCAAGAAGATATATATAAGAGCAGGTGAATTTGTTCCTACCTAAACTTAACCTTGAAATATTTAAGAATGTTATACTACCTAAAATCCGCTACATATATCTTGATAAGTTTTACACAAGGAGCTACGGCTGGACCAAAGGAGAGAAGATGGTTTACATAGAAGCTGAACCAACACGCCATCTGGCTGATAGCACGGACCAGCAGAAAGAAACAATTATAACTCTTGATTCGTTGAAGCTTTGGAGGTCTATGAGGACTTGTTGGAAAGATGATCAAGTTAGCTTTCGAATGCAACCAACGTCACATCATTTGGATGTTGCACCAAGGAGTTATGATCATATTAGTGTAGACTGCTCTGAAGGTCAACAGTCTTCCCGGGACAGGATATTGGTACAACTTCTCATTCAATATTGTACCATCCTCTAGAGTTTCGTGGCTCATTCTATACATGGTTGGAAACCTCATCAAGTCTAGTTTCCAACGCATCCAACGACACATCATTTGGACTTCCGAGCAGGGAGTAATGACCATTTATTGAAGGTTGTGCAGAAGCCTAGGAGACGCGTGAGAATTGAAGACCACTTTGGGAATGCTTCACCAGTTGACCTTCCACCTTCAAACGTGGAGACTTCAGTTCATAGCTATCTAAGAGACTTGTTCCTAGTATAAATAACACCTATGTGCTACTAGAAAACAACTTTTGATCATTTGAGAACCTGATATGGTATTGCAGCCGAGCTGTGCTGAGGGTCTTAGGGCAGTCCCAATGATAGAAACTAGTAGTTTCTATAACATAGGATACCGCACCAAAAAAGTAATGCTTTCCAACCCATGGTTTCTATAACATCATTCATACAAAGAGTAAATTAAATGCAGCACCAAAAACAGATAGATCAATTATGACAACTATTTTTACAGCCCACATGTGTTCCGTCGACAACACACAATGACAAAGAAACAAAATTGGTCGATAGCTGCCAGCAAATCAACACAGCCGGCAAACATAGATCATATTTCTGCATTCCATCACTTTCCAGAACCAAATATCACCATACAGCGACCCATAATTCAGTCTCAAAAACCATACATTAATTAATAATAGCAATCCGGAGATAAAGATAACATGTAACATACATAGTTCGTACGGAAGTACTGAAGTTCATCATATGCAAAATAAAATAATAAGGTGCCACGTCCATGTCAGGTAGGTTGCACATGCACTCCAAAATCCATCAGGTCACAATGGACTCCAAATCTTCAGAAACCATCATCTACAAGGAAAGAAATAGTGATTAGATGAAAAACATTACTTAGTGCAATTGGAAAGGTTGAACTGGCACATGTGTTTTTCAAAAAACTAATCTGTTCTTTGTAAACAAACATACTAGGATGACTTAGCTATATTTGCACACTAAACCAAATCAGATTGAAGATATGTACCTAATTATTTTGCCTATATGTATTCCTAAACTTTTGCCAAATATGATCAATCAAATCAGATTGAAGTTGTCTATACGCTTGGCGATCTTGTAAGGTAGTATTTCTGTTAAGTACATCTTCCATCTCAGGGTTTTCTCCATGAGAGATTGTAGCTTCTTGAACAGTATATGTGCTGGCTTCCTCATTCAAATCAATTGGAACCTGCTCTATATCCTTCTCATCTTCAATTATCATGTTGTGGAGAATTATACAAGCAAGCATGATATTCTCCAGATCTCCTTGATCATATAGACGGGCTGGTCGACGCAAAATACAAAAGCGAGACTGCAAAATGCCAAAGGCGCATTCAACATCCTTCCTTGCCCCTTCTTGCTTCTCAGCAAAAAGTTTATGTTTATCAGATTGTGGTTTACGTATAGACTTCACGAAAACAGGCCACTCTGGATATATGCCGTCTGCTAAGTAATAACCAATATTATGTTGTCTACCATTGATAGAGTACTGCACCTAGGGAGCTTCTCCTCTCAGCTGCTCGACAAACAAATGTGATTGGTTAAGCACGTTGATATCGTTGTTCGATCCGACAACACCAAAGAAGGCATGCCATATCCAACGATCGTGCGAAGCAACTGCCTCTAGAATGATCGTAGGAACACCGTGATCACCGCGGGTATACATACCCTTCCATGCATAAGGACATTTTTCCCAGTGCCAATGCATACAGTCAACACTCCCTAGCATGCTAGGGAACCCACGACGCTCACCAATCTCCATTAAGGGCTCAACATCTTGTACTGTTGGTCGCCTCAAATACTCCGCCCCAAATTTTGCAATCACTCCCTCCACAAATAACTTCAAACACTCTACTGTAGTACTTTCACCAATCTTAATATACTCATCAAGCTGGTCTGCTGGGCTTCCATTTGCTAACTGCCTTATTGCAGCAGTGCACTTTTGAATTGGAGATAGCCTAGGGCGATTAGCAGCATCCACTCTTAAGGTGAAAAGGGAGACCACTCACCTAGGGCATGGACAATGCGCAGAAACAAGAGCCTTTTCATCCTAAACCTTCTACGAAAGATAGTAGAATTATAGATAGGATTCTCCGTGAAATAGTCATCCATAAGCCGCTGATTGGCTTCTTCTCGAGGCCTTGCCACATACCTCCTTGAACCACTATTGCATCTCCTCCCTTCTTCTAGTGCTTCAATATCATTCTTCAATTATGCAACCATCTCATCTTGCAGGTCTTCTAATACTTCTTGCTCGGCTTCAAATTCTTCAAATGTGTACAACTCTTCTGGATATATGCTGCCATCCTCGTCTTGAGGTTCAGCATCACTCGGTGGTTGGTTAGACATTAGGAGAACAAAGAGAGAAGAACTACAGAAAGAGGAGTATGTATACCCGCTAGATGCACATATATATGCAGGGAAGCAGGCAGTGTTCACACCAAGAGGCAGTGGGCAGTGTTCACACTAGTAATTTTCAGTTTTCACACCATGATGGGTTTCAGTTTCACACAAATAATGGTCAGTTTTCACACTAGAGTCAGTTTTCACACTAGAAGCAGTTTTGACACTAATTGATAATTGCAAAGTTTATATACACACACCATCATGCTTGGTATGTTGTTATTTTCTTTAACACATACTCTCTAGTGCCAGTTACCTAGAAACCCAGAGTGTCACATAGAAACTCATCATACACTCCAGTAGAAGAAAAAGCTTTTGGACACCAAGTTCATACTTGAAAACCTGCTGTCACAAAGAAATTAAACTTTAACACATACTCTCAAGTGCTCAAGTAATTGTCACTACAAGCATTTAGCAAATACCTTAATTATCTATAGCAAATAAGGCCAACCTCATACTCTCTAGTGCTTTCTCCCTCTCAGCCAAAGCATGAGCATTCATATTAGTTGTTGGTGCTAACAGAAGCTCTCTATAAGTGTCTAGCATTTTACACTTGAGTTGCTTCTCTGCTACCTTATCAGTCAACCTAGCAGCTTCTACCTTACTTTTTGCCATAATTTGCTGTGTCTCCGCCATCTTCTCACGGTCCTTTCTAGCCAATGTGCTTACTTCAATGAACTTGTCTAGCTTGTCAGTAATAGCAGAAAAAGCTTCAGGTGTCTTCTTTTTCCCATAGAGCTCAGCCTTAGCCTTCTTATGTCCAATAGGACAAATCTTAGGATTATCTTCCAAATTCACCACTTCAGACGGCGAATCAGCTGCACTCTTGTTCTTCTCTTTTTCCTGTTCCTTTTTCACATATGCAGACCACTTCCTTTCATTCCGCACAACCTTCCAAAACTGCTTCAGTGTAAATTCTTTATCATTATGTTCACCAGCATACATCTTCTTAGCAATTTCCATCAATTGATCATCGCTCACACCACTTCTGTAGACTTTGGTGGTTCTATTCCAGCAACCATGGAAATCCATTACTGGTTTCTTAACACGGTCCCAGCGGATCTTCAGTTGATTCTGGTTTCTCCTACGGCAAACCTCTGTGTTTTTATTGTATTCTTCAGTAACATCCGCCCAATATTGATCTGCCTTCCTATCGGTTCCATCAACTGGGTCCTTTGAGTTACGCAGCCAAGCAGAAGCCTACATTCACAAAATAACACCTCAAAGTTTATAACCAAGCAGATTGTTCAAGTTGTTCACAAACTAAGAAAGGATGCTTACCAATCTAACGTCTTCAGGTTTCGTCCAATTCAATCGCCTCTCAGTCCTGTCGTCTTCGTTGGTTTCATCCGCATCAATATTAATTGTTTCTTTGTCTTATGCATTGCTTTCTAGGGTTCTTTTCAAACTTGGAGCAGTTGCAGAAATTGTAGTTCTACTTGTTGTATTTCCAACTAAATGGAAATTCTCTGGACTACCATTTGACTGGAGAAAATTGGTAAACCCACCTGGTGGGTACATCCTAAAAAAATGAAAAGAGATGTTCAATGAGCATTCATCAGATCATATAGAAAAAGCATTTTCTACCATAAATACTTGTAGTAACAGTATGAACCACGTTGGAAACACTAAAACTGATAAGAACAATTGCCTCGATCAAAATTGGAACACTAAAACTGATAAGAACACATACCCTTCATTGGAGCCCATCGGAGAGGAATTTGTCCACCACGTTGGCAATCCGGCTGCTTGAAGGCTTGGAAGTGGTGGAGATGCTGCTGTAGTCACACGAGAGGGATTACCGGTGGCCGAACTGGATCCATCATCAGGGGCGACGGGAGCACCGACTACCGAATTAGATCAGGTAGCGAGGGTGGCAGGAGCACCCCTACCCTGCCCTGTCCTGCCTTCCCCTGCCCTGCCTTGCCTGGAGCTTGACGATGGCGGCCAGAGAAGATTCATGCTTGCAGATTGGGGGCTGGATGATTCTAGGTCTTGGAGGCTAGGCTATTTGAGGCCAGGTGAGCGCGCGGGGGAGATCCAGGTGAGCGCGCGGGGGAAAGGGCGACGCAGTGGCGGGAGAAGTGCGGGGAAGGGAGGGAAGGGCGAGCACGCGTGGGAAATCGAAGGCTGGAGCGCGCGGGGGAAAGGGCGGCGATCCAGGAAAGCGCGCGCGCCATCGGGCGGCGCAGTGGCGGGAGCACACGGGGGAGATCTAGGCGAGCGCGTGCGCCATCGGGCGACGCAGTGGCGGGAGCGCGCGGGGGAGATCCAGGCGAGCGCGCGCGCCATCGGCGCGAGGGGGCGGCGGTGCATGGGATCCGGGTGCAGGGCGCTCGACGCTGGTCGTTTCTTCCCAACAGCGTTTTTGTAGTTTCTAGGTGCATCGGTGCTAGCGTCGAAGTCGTTTCCTACTGAAGAAATGGTTTCTTCATTTTTTTCTCTCTCTCTTCATTAATTTTCATGCCACATCAGCAAAATGCTGACTTGTCCAAGTAATTAATGAAGATAGAAACTACCATAAATACACCATTGGGACTGCCCTTACACACCTTTGTTCTTGCGAGTCCTTCTTGGGCTTGTGAGAGATCTCTCTGAGGTCTCCTACTTCGTGCTCTACAACTTCTAGTTAGGCTGTGCCGTATTGTGTGGATTTGTCCCGGTTTGTGGTTATGCGATCGTTCAGAGATCAAGTCAAAGTCCGCAAGGTTTTGGTGTCTCTCTCTCCGTCGCTTGGTTGCATACAACCTTGGTCAGGTGTAAAGCTAGTTACCCGCTATTTTCTACAGCAAGTTATCCTTTGTTCTTAACCTACTATAGTGAAGATCAGGCCATCCCCTTGTTGATTCATATCGGTACCTATCGTGTGGTAATCAGAGCTATCGTTGTCACGGTAGGTTTTGTTGTCACCCACTTATCTATCATTTTGTTTACCTTCCGTTACTGTTTTCATCCATCACATATATTTGTGCTTTGTTCGTATCCTATAGTCCAGTAAAAAGCCACACAAAAAAATCCTATTGCCTTTTGTTGGTACTATTAATCTCGTGTCGTTTGTGTTCATCTAGTTGTTCGTCATCATTGTTGCTCTTCCGCCGTACTCTTGTTTAGTTTTTATCTGCACCCCTTATATGTTATCTTGTGTTTGCTAAAAAAAATCTGAGACAAAAAGAAAGAAAGAGTCAGAAAGAAAAAAAAGAAAAGAAGAGTACTTGAAAGGGGTTATATTGTGGATTGTGTAGCTGTGAGTTTTTAATTTCAGAACCTCAAGTTTGTGGTGCTTGTGACAGTTACACATCTTTTGAGTGACTCCACTTGAATTTTTGGTACCATAGCCTTCCTTGAACAATGACCTATAGCTCCACCAAAACCTGAAACCGGACCTCTCGTCTTGTAATCCTTTCAATCGCTTAACCATAGCTGCGGTACTGGTGCACTAGCACACTCACTGTCCTTGAGAACGAGCAAGAGCATTGGTAAGTAAGAGGTGAGGTTGTGAGATTTCATAAATTTACCTATTCCACTTTTTCTTGCATAAGTGCTAACATGTCAGGATTCAATTCGAGTGTTCATGGTGGTCGATATGGAGAAAAAGAATCACCAGTCTCGCGGGCTGAGTTGTGCCAACTACAGAACTCACTAGTGGGGGCCATGGAGAGGATGTTCGATGAACACCTTTCTACAGTGCTCGGCCAGGCTCCACAGCAACATAGCCCGACCAACTCTCGTGGTGGTCTATTTGGACATAGTGGACAGCTTGGGGGAGGTGCTTTGGGGTGTAGTTTTCGCCCCCCTTTGTGCTCATTGGTGATGAAGATTATTGTGTGTCCACCAAAAGAAAAATTCAGCAAGAGACATGAGGAAGGTCCTATGAACAGCAAAACCCATGCGAGAAAGAGTGCCACCATCCAAAATTAAGTGTGAGAGTTCAAAATGACAAGATGAGAGATTCCACCATATGTGAGGAGAGCTACAAAATTCTATGTGAGATAGATACACAAAAAATGAGTGAAAAAGACAATGAGTCATGTGAGGAATTATTTACTACTAACATGATAATACCTTCTTCTAGTCTTGTTCCTTGTGTGATGCAGGCTCATGAAGGAAAAGATGTGGTGGATTATGACCAACCCCCAATGTTCGATGAGGAAGATCAAGTGATGGCTGTTGGTATTTATAAGTGCAAATAGAATATGAAGGATTCTGCAAGCGCACAGAATACCATTGTAGCATTTTACCTGGAGTATTCTAGGTATCATTATTTATATTTTACCACAGGGAAACAATAGAGTAAAAATTTATTGGATAACAAAGGAATGTCTACTAATCAACGTATCAACATAGCTAGAGCAAGGGGTAGAGATAATGATAGGAATTAAGGATAATGACACTCAGGGGATAGATCATTAAGATAATGTAAACTAGTTAACCCAGCAGAACAAAGGGTGTGGCAGATTCCTATGATATTGTTATTATAGGATCAAAGTATATATATACCTGACTATAGTTAAGACTCACTCTACTCTTGTACAATTCGGGACGCCGCTTAGACTGTAGAGCATCCACAATAGATAACTCTACTGACGTGACTATGGTCCTACAATTTAAGAACTTACTCAATTCGGTGTGGACTACAAAGGATAGATGGGACTGTCACCACCCGCTACTACCACACAACCAGAGAACAGGGTGTACTCACAGGCAGAGCTCGTATAAGCACCATGCTTACATGAGGCTCGGCTACTTAGGCCAACTATGGTAAACTAGCAGGCTAAGCACTCTATGAACCCACACACAAAAGTAATGATAACCTCAACTAAGCAAGATACATATTCAAAGTAAGCATAGCCATGTAGATAGGAATATGATAAATTGATAATAAGTCTTACAAGATGTAGAAGTGAAGATTCAAGGCTTTGCCGAGCCTAAGACTAGATCCGGAACTTGAGCATGAGCCCAACTCGACCCTCACTCCCAAGCTACTAATCTACTACATTGGAGAGCTTTAGACCTAATCCTCCTGGTGTATCTTGATCTCTGAATGAGAGGTATGAATTAGGGTTTCAGGGATGGCCTGAGGGAGGGGGGGGGGTAGGGGCTACTATATATAGGCCAGAGCATCAATTCTGAGCCCTCGGATCAAACCGACTTGAAAGAACGGTGTAGATGCAATCTAGGAGGCGCTAGAGAATCAACATTCGAAGGGGAGGCTGACACGTGGGTCCCATAGGCTGGCTGGCCTGCAGGAGGGGCTAGCCGGCCCCCCATGTCAGCGTCTCGGCTCGATCTTAGGTGGAGAGTCTCCTAGGGTCTTCTAGTGTTGTTTACGCCAGGGATAAGCGCAATTAATTCTAACATATAGGTCCACCTTGATGGTCTTCTGATTAAATCCTCCTGCAAACACAGATTCACCAAAACTTGTGGAATTTATTAGTTTAAACCCCTAGACCTATGTTGGTGATCCTTTTTATGCATTTATATAAGTTATATTGATGGTTTATGATGAACATTAACGACCATCAACAATGGCCATAGACAGTGACACGTATGCATATGTTGCTTCACAAAATGTTGAAGTGATTGTGCATCAAAACCTATGTGAGAATGAGGGCCACATTGCCAAACTGAGAGAGAGTAAAAATAAAAGTGAGCTGTGTGATTCCACCCACTATGAGGTTGAGAGTATCAAAAATGCGAGTGTGAGAGATACACCATAGAAAAATAGAGAGATAGAATGCAAGTCATGTGAGGATATTTTTGAAACTAACACTCTCATATCTACTTCTAGTGTTGTCTTTCCAAATGTGCATGTTTGCAATGAGAATGAGGAAGAGATGGATGCTCATGACAACACCATACATGTTGAGAGAAGTGAGAAGGTGGTAAGATTTTAGAACCAATTGTGTGATGCCCAAAACATGAACCATGATGAGGAAAGTGGTAAGATTTTAGAAGCATCATCCATGATACTTGCACTACCAACGAGTCTAAAAGGTAATGAAATTAATTCAGATATGGGTTTGCAAAATAAAATGGTGAGCAGTTATGATGAAACATGTGGTTCAAATGGAATTGACCCGACACAAATTATTCATGTTGATTTGGTAGATTCACAAGTTCATACATGTGTTGAAATTTTGCAAGTTGATAAACAATGTTCAATCATACATGATCTTTTCTATGCTTTGATATGGTTCATATACATGATACTTTGCACTCATATATCTGATACTTTGCATGCAAATAAATTTGATAATGTGAAAATGTATACTCATGATGAGTTATTTGGAAAGATATCTCTTACTGAATGTGTTTGCTATGTCATGTTTGATAAATATGTTGAGATCGATAATATACTTGAGAATGTTTTTAACATATCATCCATGAAATCTTTGAATACTACCTATAGTTGCAAGTTTACTTTCAATTTGATTGGACATCATGCTGCAAGTCAATTCTATGTTTGTGCAATTGGCATAACTTGTGACAAGCTTGCTGGTTTGAAGTTAAATAGACTTTGCAACAATTCATGTGAGCCATATTTTTCTAAATTTGAGATGAAAAGATTGTTTAGTGACTTCTATATAGAACCAAAAATATTGTTCCATTGTTCATATGTTCTATCAAAAGAAAGAAATCTTCTGAAAACATGTTTCATTAATCCAACCAAATTTTTTCTATCCTCATTTGGAACCATTGA